TACAATCAAGATACAATGATTATGAAGTCATTAAATATAATATAATCAATTAATATTAATATATGTTTACGCCGTATGGTCGACCGAAAACGAAAACCTTGTCAGGTCGCAAGAATATTGGAAGAAGAACATTTACAGAACATAGAATCTTCCTACGATCAGTTTGCCCTTTTACAACGAAATCAATAATTACAATAACGATCATTAAATATATATAATAGTAGTGGAAATAAAAAGAATAAAAAGTAATTGTTAACATTAAATATTATTACTTTTTTAAATATGATTACAAATAGTATGAGAAAAATAAAAGAAATTTTTTTTTATCATCAATGAATCACATTTTTTCATAAAAGTATAAATTCGAATAAACAATTATTATTTTGGCAGTCAATTTTACATCCAATTACGATGCTACAATATATTTGTATGGTGTGTACATATATAAATGTAAAAATACGCATCATAACACATATTGCTTATACTTATACAAGTAAAAATTTTCTTCTCGATTTCGTTTCGATTAGGCGAGAAGTGGGCAGTGAGGCTACTTGATCGACTTGAGGAGTATCCGATCGACCATACGTTTTTTAACACTTTTTTTAAAAAATTGCCTTTAAAAATTTGTTTTATTATTATGTGTATATATATTACAATGAGATCGATTTGGTATGATATACATATATATCCAGGCCACCAAGGTATCAGCGACAATGAAACTATCCATATCCAAGCTCGCTTAGCTATTTTTAACTTTTTGCCACTGTTACTTTGCCGTACATGCCCAAAAAGAGACTCAAATGATAGAATAAATTTTTTTTATGAAAAAAAAAAAAAAAATCAACATCCAAGGCATGCCGTTCGAAGTGCATTTTTCATGAATAAATAGATCGAATCGATCGCACGCGTCAGCCACAGATATTTTTGTTCTTTTCGATTTTAATAATCGTACTTTCCAAATTAGCTTTCGCTTACTCCGAATTTATTAATACTAATTTTATATTTCCTCTTTCGAAGACATGGTTGTATTTTTATTTATGAGTATTTCTACCTCTACGAGTGAAATATTTTCTTTCATTAAAATATTGTTTAAAAATCAATTATGCGTCTAAATATTATCTATCACTTTGAAATTAATAATTTCTCAGATTATATACAGTTTGAAATTTATTTACATGTTTATCATTTACAAGTATTGACAGGCAAAATGTTTCAATTTTCTTGCGTTAAAAAAAATGTAAAAATTAAATAGCGTTAAAAATAAAGAATAGTAATCAAATTACCTCGCGTAAAATAAAAACGTAATAAATTTTAAAAAATCAAGAATAAATCAAGTTGATCAATGTTAAGTAATTACAATAAAAAAAATCATTGTATCAAATAAAAATTTGATTAGATGTAAATCTAATCATCATTTTAAAAAATGTAACGAATTCACGTGTAATAAAAATAATTTAATAATAAAAAACGCGAACCTGTCCGAATTTTCTGAGAAAATAAAAAATGTATTTTCATGGTGGTATTTTTTTTTTTATTACTATTATTCTTATTTAAAAAACACGCGATACAAAATATATTTAATAGCCAATTACAAAGCTTTAAAAATTTGTCAAAAAGGAGCGAGCCGCAGCACATTATATATTTACATATCGATGGCGACTAGTCGTGATTGACACGTACTATACTATGATTAAAAAGTTTTTAAACTGCCATCATCATCTAAAAAAGCACACGAACCTATGGCAATTCAAGTTCTATGATGAAAGGGAGAGGAGGAAGCGAAAGAGCGCAGGAGGAATAATTACATTGTTAATTCAAATGAGTATGTTCTTAAATAGTCACAGGTCGGACGATCGATCGATTCGAATCGGATCGAGGCGAGTGCTAGATTAAGATACGACACCCGCCTCGACTTGTTCCACTCTGGCACTGACAAAAGCACGAGCAAAATTTTTTCGTATGTATACGTACATATATACCGATAGATACCAAGGCCCGGCTACATTTACATAATTCTGCGTGAGTATGAATATAGCATGTGTATTGTTTTTGTTTTTCGTTTAATTCTTTTAGTTACATGTTTTTATTAATCGCAAGTTTTTTTTTATCTTACACAATACATGTGTATGTAATAAGTATGGTGCGTAGCAAACTTGTACGCATGAACCTGGATTCTTTTTTTTTTTCAGTTAATGCTTCTGTTTTCGATAAACGTTATTTTCATCAGCTTTATTCATTTTGTCATCATTTTTACACTGGCAGTATGCGTTGGTGTCAGTTGTAAAAAAATTTCGCTCATCCGGAGATGTAATCCAATTTGTACTTATGCTTTGCTTTTCATTGCTGTTGTTGTTTCTGGTATTCGCAATCCTGTGTATCTTTCGATTGTTTCTTATCCCTGCTGGCTCTTAAGCCCCTCAATTATCTGCTCCCTCCTTTCACGATCCATCATTCCCCCTATATTCTCGTATTGCAATTTTCAGCCTAAGGGAGTTGGATCAATTACATAAAATATCACAATTTGCTTTATATTTTTTTTCTTTTTTGCACGTATCTCTTTTTAAATTTTTTTTTGGTTTTTTTTCATCATTTTTTTTTTTTTTAATATACTTCCTTTAATATTCTTTATCAGGCTGGTAGTGGCGGTCGGAACCTTTAGGAGTTTGGAAATTGGATTCCTTTTGAGTTCCTGTGTTTCGCCGGTAATCTTACTTTTATTACCGTAGTTTGTTCTTGTTTATTGTATATCTTGATCTATCTATTAGATATATCATTTAAATTCTGCGAACTTTGCTATTTTTAGTTGAAGACGAAAGCGCGTCAAAGACGGACGCACAAGTGCAAGTCTGACGTCTATGAGATTACGGGCAGCACCGACATCACATTTTCTTTCTCAACTAATCTTTCTCGAGTTCGCGCGATTTCTGGTTGACTCGTCCTCCTGTGAATCGCATATTTCTCATGTTTTGCACATGTTTCGTCTAGGTTGATTTTATCTTTCTTTTTTTTTTTTTTCAGCACTGCATCGCCAGTACTTCATTACTTCATTAAGTTGAGCGATATTCAAGTGTAATGCAATATACATGTAAAAGAAGTATCTCGTGACCTTTGCAAAAACCGCTTCGACATGAATACATGTATGATCGAAAACGATGCAACGCATGTAGGCATTGCGTACATACGCAAACTCTGAACATTGTAAGTCAAAGTCTTTTATCGAGATCTCGGCAGAGAAAGATTATGATATCTGTGTGTATTTGTGTGAGTGTTTTCCTACGCTTTTACATGTATAGTACCGTGACTATGCTTAGATGTATATATATATATCACGGAGTCGACCTTCTCTATATACTCTTTAAGAGTCGCTAAAAGAGTCGTCTACGTCGCAAGAGTGACACGGACGCACGCGCGCGAGCGCGAGAAAGAGATAGACGATGAGTGTATCATGTATCCATCTTAAGAGCACAGCAAGCGTGCGCGCCTACGTCAACAAAGGGCCCCTAAAAGCCCTCGCCTTCTCGCTCTTCACCTCGTCTCATAATCTACCCTTATTAAATATTCATCAATTACCTAACCGGATTAACAATTAATAATATTAATAATAATTGTAATAATTATGATTTGTGCATTGTTCAGTGGTTGTTATGTATCGAGGGATGCGACGACGCGACATGGACTTCGAAGTCGGGGCTCGCGGTGGCGCTTTCGCTGCTATCTCTGTCGTCGTCGTCGTCGTCGCTTTGACGCCAATTCGCGGGCGGCGCTACGACGACCGAGGGCCGAACCGCATTAGCAGCAGCGGCACACGCAGTCGTGGCGACAAACGCAGGGACTACGGTGGCTGCGTGGTTAATCGGAACTCCGATTTTAACGGCTGGAGGGCCGAGCAGCGGCTGAGCAATGTACCTGCCGCCGACTGCAGCGCCCTAGTCGTTGAAGCGGGAGCACGCTTTCTTCCACTTGCACTGCGTACACCAGAGATCCTTCTGATGCATGCCGTAGATCTTGCGGCATTTCTTTGTGTCGCCACGCACACGTCTAGGCGAGTTAGGCATCTTGCCCAGTGCAACCGTCAACAGGCTTATGTTTGGAGTGTTGCACGATTGCAATGGCCGGGATGCCACTTTGAAATGTTTGCTCGGTATGCTTTGCTGTGGGGAGAGAAAAAAAAATTTAATTTAATTTTTTCAAGTTCCTACACAGTCATTTCACCGTATTACATTATATTGCGTTTATCAAGCATTACCTGCTGAGATATAGAAAATACATCTCGTATGATTATATCTTGTGTATTGATAGCAGCAGTCATTTGAGAGTTGGTCTGTGTTTGAGGTAAAGCAGCAAGACGCAGCTGCTTCTGGTACTCAGGATCTTCAGTCCTGGGCCTGACCATGTCCCAATGTGACTTTGTTGGTGGCGAGCATGCAACTTCCAACTCCTCATCCACAATGTAGAAGTCTTCTTCATCTTCTGATGTCTTTTGACCACTGCAAAATGATTTTAAAAATAATTAGCTGTAATATCCATTTGAATCTCATTCAATTGCCTATACGAGTAAAGTAAAACAATGTTGAAGGTGAATTTAAAAATATTGATAATTCAACTTGTTGCCGCAACAAAAATTTTCAAACCCAAGTAAGTACCTATCATGACAAAACGCCACATACAATCGAACACACCTAAAGGCACTCGTGCGATTCAAAACATGAAAATAGGTTACTACGGCTTGTGAATATTATCACTTTTCCGCTGGCTGGCGGCAAGCGGTTACGCACACGACCAGAGAGCAGGCACACGCACGGGCACGCTACACGCGACCGACTTGAAGCTAACTTGGAGCGCTGTAGCTGCTCTCTCGGAGTCAGCTGTTGCACGAGTATTGGTAAAGGACATAATAGAAGGGGACAACTTACTGCAAGTGATCTCGGAGAACGTGTTCGGCGACCATGTCCCAGGTACTGCCAATTTCACCGCATCGGCCGTTTTTACTGGTCTCATCGCGCCAGGTGCACTTGTAAATGGTCATGGGTCTCTGCAATCAGACAGAAAACAATACCAAACTTTATATACACTTATTTTCACCATAGGACGCCAAACACCATAGCCCCGAACAACGTGTCTGCATATTAACCTTTCGCTTCTTGCGAACCACATAATCCAACAAGTCTTGCTCCTTCATTTTCGACGGGGAAGCAACGAGAACACGATTACCGATACTCGTGGGGTGCCGGGATGCACGAACAGACGGACGCGCAGAGAAAACGAGGACGGCTCGATAAATGAAGGTTAGTGACGTCGTTAACACGGGGTGGTAGAAAAGTACGGTAGACGTTGTACGCCGGCCGGGACGACAACACCGCCAGCTGCTCTTTGCCGGGTATAAATTGAAAGCGGGAGGGTAGCGCGCGCGGCACTGGGGTTGCCCTCCCGCCCTTCCGCCCTTACCTAAATGCCTGCGGCGGCGGCGACCGGCGATCAGCGGCTCTCTCTCTCTTTTTACCGACCGCAGCGCCAGCTACTTCCGATTCTTAGGCGCGCGAGTTTTTAAAACGTCTTTCCCGAGTTTTAACACCTTACGATGATTTTTATTGAGGTTCTGTACAGGATTAATGATTTTTCGCAAATTGGACCTTGTTTTATTTTTAACCTTCGATGAAATATCAAATTTTTCGGAAATTAACTAGTGCCTTGTTGGATCAATTGTCGCGATTTTACGTACACTCAAGGCACTTTATATCTGTCGGAACGATTGGTCTACATACGGTTAATGATGTCCTATAACCTATAATATAACAAAGACGTACTGTCACTTAACAGGTAATTTTTCATCGTTCTGACAAATATAAAGTGCCTTGGGTGTACCTACAATTCGCTGTACACCGGCGTTTTCACCGGTAGGTACACGCAGCCTCTTTCACGTGCAACTTCCGGTTAGGGATTTGCACTATCCACGTGTGCAACGAAGAAAAACTACTGCGCAGTAAGCAGGTATTTTTTATATTCGCATTCTTGAAAATTTTAGAACTCCTTACAATTTATGTAATTATATATTTTTATAAGTCAACACAAAAAAAATTTCGACACTGTCGCACTGCATGTTTCCTATTCGATTTTGTGATCGTCATATGAGCATGGAATATCCAAGAATGAATAGTTAACGAAAAAAAAAAGAAAAAAAAAAAAAAGCAACGAGGTACTTAACAAAAACCCAATTGAATCAACCGTGTAATATCCATCATCGCAGCTTTTACGCAAAAAGTAATATTTGTAAGTAAAAAAAAAAATTTCAATGCTGTTGTACAAGCAAAGTATACAGACTTTTTTCAAATGAGCATTACCCCTGACAACAACAATAACGACACCAGTTAGGAAAATTCACTTTGTGAAAATGACTTTTTATATAAGTACTAATACATTAGGACACGTTCATCCCTCCGTCAGAGCAAGTTGCTATAAATGGCTGATAAAAAGGAGAAAAGAGACGAGGTGGTATGAACAAAATTAACATAAATGCGGAATGTGCAGAGGCGTCGAGGTCGAGATGAGTTGAATGTATAATAAGTATATATGTGATGGTATGCGTGACGTAGACTTTGCGTCATCTTAGCCCCTCTCCCAGTCAAGGGGGTGAATCGAGCTCCCTCCCCATTAGCTTCGACGTTGGTCTTTCTTTTTGCGTATAAGTACACATAGTACGAGATTAAGGGTGTCGTGGATACAAAAAAAAATAAGGTGAAAAGCAAGTGTGGATGCATGAACGTCTCCGTACGGTCCGCGCGTCTTGGATGGCCCTGGTTAGACTAGGTCCTGGTACCTATACCAGGAGTATCATATCTCCCCGATAAGTATGCCACAATGCTGGCCTATTGTACCTATATATTATATATTATGTTCTAGTGGTTTATATTTTAATAAATAGATTGCATTTTTCTAGAAAGTCTGTTTGAAATTTTATTGAAGGCTGATTAAGATTTTGGAGTAGGTTTTCTACGTGTTTATTTGTTATTTTAATTTTGCTGCGGTATTTTTCTATGTCCGTAATGGAAGAGTATCGACAATTATTGAGGTTTGTACGTTCCCAGATGATGTGGTTCATCATGTAGGATGGAGAGGATCATTGTAATTTCTTAGGTCTGCAGTAAGAAGTTGACGTTTTTGACTTTTCGGTTTATTCTCAATGCTCTGTGAGAATTCAGAAGTGTGTAGTATGGTACTGGACACTCCATACATTGGGATTTATTCGTCCAACGCCAATGGCACAGCAGGTACGAGGCACGAGCAATTCAGCCCAATCAGAGAGCTCCTTTATATCATTTGCATCAGTTGCTCGTTTATATAATCTATAGACAAGGTTTTTTACTCGCCGGATTTTGTCCAATTTTTCATGTTCCTTGTTACGCTTAGATCATCATTAATTATAAATTGTGTGTAGATACGTGACGTACTTGTTTTGGGTAAAGTCAGACGGGAGGGAAGACCACCAATCGGAGGATAGTAAGGAGCGAGTCCAAACGTCCAGACAAAAAGCCCGGCAACTTTGAAATCTTTTTCTTTATCTAATCTTGTCAATTCAATTTCATCAACGACGCTAAAAGTTAATCGTGTTTCTATTGGTGTGAAAACAACTCCAACTCCGTCCAAATAAGGCTAGATGAATGAATAATTCGATATTTATCTATTAATTACATTATTACGGCCACGGATTTGTTTGCCCAACAAAACATAAATATCGCTCTTACGTGATTCAATAACCGAAAAAATAGATTTTCATAATAATGAAAAAAAAAAAAAAAAAAATTGACTCTTTGAAATGATTAGTTTAACTGACAAAAATCGAGACGTTGGTTGCCTCGTTAACAGTAGTGCAGCCAATATTATAAATTGAGATCGTAGCTTTACATTTTTTTATAACTTTTAGCAATTGGTCCTTACAAACACTCTGGGTTATTGGGTTATTGGGTAGTGTACATGTTGCGGATACGCATAACATGAACAGTGACTGCAACATGGATGGATATGGATGAGTGACCCAAGTATGTAAAAATCGATGCGCAGGGAGGTACGGCGCATAAATTGCTCCGCCAGCGCACGTTTCTTTGTTTACGTCGTAGATGCCGGCGCCGGTTCTATCTCTGCATGTTTATGTACCCTGAACCCAGAAAATATACATAGGTATGCGCCTATGTTCCGTGTAACCTATGGCTTGGTTATCTGTTGTACGTTGCCTGCAGCAACGTCGTCGTCTCTATATTTTGTACATATGGATACACTGGCCGCCGACCACGTGCTTATTGATCCCCATCACCGGCGATTGGAGGGGAAAATCCCCCTTTTTTTTCTGTATACATACACAAGCAATTCCACACAAAAATCCCGCAGTGAGGAAATTTTTTTTTTTTAGATACCTACACCTTCGGGATGAAGATTTTTATGTCACACATGCCTTCAGACGTACAAAGCATAAAAGATGAAAATTCTTACCCAAAAGGTGTCACTTAGCTAATTTTTTTGTGTAATTATTCATAGTAGTCTTTATGAAAATTTTTAATCACCTTTTTTCCATCAGTTTTCTTTGTCGACTATACACGAAATCTTCACTTTTTTTTTTATCCTACAGTTAATGATGAATCGACGCTAAAGCAAAATCTATTATGGTTTTTCCGACGACATAGCATCACAACGCGTATATATACTATCGAGCCAATTGCCTTCTTCGTTGTGTGTACAGTCTTAGTTTTTCTTTGTACAGTATACGAATAAATACAGTAAGGAAGTGTGTATGTATGTACACACACGGGAAATGAATCAATGAAGGTTTTTCCCAACATGGACACAAAGAACGCAAGTATGTGGGTATACGCATACAACGCACGTGTGACGCATTAAGTAGTGGGGGGGGAAGTAAGGGATTGGGGTAGCTTTATACCAAGCACGTCTATACAGAAAAGCTCGCACGGTGTTCTTTGAAAGTTCTCAAACATCTGCCCCGGTACTTACATTATACTGTACATGACATACGAGATCGTCCAACATTTGAATACAATAATCTCTACACTTTGTGATTAAATAATCTTGTGCACTGTCTTGTCAATAAAAGGTGTGATTGCCATTTAACAAGGGATGAGAAAAAAACATCGTAAAAGCCATGGTGTCGCTGGTTTAACATTTTAACGGGTCCAACGACACAAAAATTTCCCGTAATGGTGTCCTTTGTGTCTCTTTGTCCGTGTTTTCTTTGTCTTCCCTGTTTTTCCGAAAATCCGCAACGAAAGAGAAGTTATCGATCAGCCGGAAAATGACTCCCCGTATACGTGAACCTACACCTACTTCCTTCGGTGCCTTTGTTACTCTTGATATACCGGCGGTACATCTATTAAGAAAACGAATTTTCAATTTTACGTGTCTACATCATTGTATGCCGCAGTGCCAACTATAAAATCACACAATGATCATTACCCGTCAAACACGCCTTCGGCCAATTTTACCGTGTAATAACTATGTATCAAAGTAGCTCCATACCTCATACGTTTGAGTTGTCAAACGAGCACAAAGATCTCTTTCAAGTTGCACTGCAAAACGCGCGCACTTCTGTTTCAAATTAAAGCTCGCATTTGCCGGGAATCGGTGTTGTACTAATGACTCTGTGCATACGGTTACGCATTTTGGGAATAGTACGTGCCGTTTGAACTTCTTATGGGGGCGAAAGGCACTTGGTAGGTGTCAGTCGAGTTTCCGAACGGGCAAGGTTTTTCCTTTGAAGTATAAGCTCCAGTTATTAGCGCGTTGGAATTTAAGAATGGGTTACAGGGAGGGTTTACGAATACGCCGTTAATGTATTTCCATAGCTCCCACACCAGTGGTCCAGTGTTTGTTTTCTGTTTCACTATTGTTTAATGACCATACACATTTATATAGACAATTCCTGAAAATTCCGATGCCCATACACTTGCTGTTTTTACATGAAAACATTTTTTTCTTATATTTTCAGAGTCGAATATTTATCCACACTTGCAAACGAGAACATTTGCTTCT